TCATTTGCCTGTAAGCAAGAACTGGTGGGATCATAAAATAGAGAAAGTCACAGAAAATGATAAAATTAAACTGCTCTGGGACTTCAGAATTCAAACAGACAAGCACCTGCATTCACAACTTCTGGAGCCAGGTTGTTCCACTGATTAATTGTTCTAACTATCACAAAATTCCTCCTTGGTTCTAATGTTGCTTCTCTCCTTGGTTAGTTCCCATCCGTTGCTTCTTGTCCTGCCTTCAGGCGCTTTGGAGAACAGCTTGACTGCCTCTTCTTTGGGGCAGCCCCTGAGATGTTGGAACATGGCTATCCTGTCCCCCCTCGTCCTTCTCTTCATTAAACTAGACATACCCAATTCTAGCAACCGTTCCTTATATATTTCAGCCTCCAGTCCCCTAATCATCTTTGTTGTTCTTCTCTGTACTCAAACAAATAATGTATCAAACAAACAATGAGTATCAGGACAACATTTTCTCATCAAAATGTGTTTGAGTACCAAATTCGATGAGTTTCAAAGCAGTTGGGTACCAAGGTACCGCTGTAATTGGCTAAAACAAGTCCTGAAAATGACCGATGGCTTTCCTCGAGAAAAGAAAAACAAATCAATTTCCAGTTTTTCTCGACCTAGACCAGGGGTAGGCAACCTTGGCTCTTTTATGAGTCTTGGACTTCAACTCCCAGAATTCCTGAGCCAGCCAATTCTGGGAGTTGAAGTCCATGACTCATAAAAGAACTAAGGTTGCCTATCCCTGACCTAGATAATGAACGAGTTAGGGCGGTTAGGTCTGGATCGGACCCCCCTTTCCTTAAAGTGTTTTGCAGCAATCACAGGTGAACTTACTGTTTGCTGCAATGAGAGAAATAAAACAAGGCCGGCTCCATGTTCTCAGGTAAGATCGGTTTCAGCAGATGTAAATAATTCAAGTTCAAATCATGTCTCCATAAAGGATGAGAAACATTCTGAGTACTTTATGTTCTGGCAGGAAAGTTACGAGCCTGAAGTTTTTTCTGGTGCAGAGAAGACGTAAACTGAAATATGCAGGGGAAGAGTCAGTCTCTCTCCCCCAAACTACAGGTGACAGGTGTGATCCTCCTGCTATTGGCCGAGTGGAAACACAGTCCCTTCAGTGGGGGCTTAAATGCTTTTCATGTTCCGCAAACTGTCAGCCCTTTGTCAGATACAAAGCAAACACCTTGGCCACCCACTTCCCAGCCTCATCATCGGCTTTGCAAAAGATTCAGATTAGGGTTAAAAAGCATTGTGTTTTCTGCTTCCCATTTTTTTTTGTTCTTGTTTTAATCTTTTCCATTACTCCCAGTTGGTTTCAGCTTGCTAGGACTGAATTTGAGAGAGATAAGGAAGTCATTCAGAAAAGGCCTTTTAAGACAAACCAGAGCTTCTCAGCTACGTAAAACAGCCTTTGACCTCCTGGAGGTCAAAAAAGTCAAGATGGAAGCAAAAATTAATGTGACCAACGCCTTCTCCCTTTTTTGGGATATCATTTTCTGCTACGTTCTGCACCAAGAGGTAAAGACACAATCAAAAAACCTAAAAGGAAACAAAAGGACCAACACATGCCCTCACTAGCAACCAATAGCCAGATAAGAACACCAAGATTAATACCAGAACTACAATCAAGTAGTAAGCAATTCCCCAATCAAGGAACTACCAACTCAAACAATCAAATAGTCAATAACAGTATAATTAGGGAACTATCAAGAACGCTCCCACTAATACTGACATGGCAAGCCACTAGTATATAAAAGGAGAACAACTCCCTTCCAGCACTGATGAAGTTACCTAGCTGGGTAATGAAACGTCCGCAAGAAAACAACCAAGCTTAGTGAGCACCAAGGACCACACAACTTTCTACAGAATAACTACCTTGATATTTTCTGTATTACCACTTCAAAACTCTTTCCAGCCCAATCTGAAGAATGTGGGACTCTTTGCCAGCAAAACATCTGGTTTAGTCTCATTAAAGCTTTCTCTAACTCAGTGTTTCTCAACTTTGACAATTTTAAGGCATGTGGACTTCAACTCCCAGAATTCCACAGCCAGCAATGCTGGCTGTGGAATTCTGGGAGTTGAAGTCCACATGCCTTAAAATTGTCAAGGTTGAGAAACACTGCAAACTGGACCTCACAATGTCGCCTGGGTAAATGCTGTATCTATAATTTCCTGTTTCTTAGCACAAGAACAGAATCTCCTCTTAGCTTAGCCCTGATCACTTGTAATTAAAACTTTGCAATGTGCAAGAATAAGGTCTGAACTACTAGCTGGTTAGACAAATCTTTTGATAAACTAGCCAAATGCTCCAGTTTACAGAACAAGAAGCTTGATTTTTTTTTTTTAAATCCGATTTTTATTACAGCGACTTAGGGAATCCCTTCCTGTGACAGACTTGAGCTACAGAAGATCAATGAAAATATGGGGCAAGGAGGGCCTCTTAAGAAGATTTTCCCCGCATGTACGCTAAATCANTAGACAAATCTTTTGATAAACTAGCCAAATGCTCCAGTTTACAGAACAAGAAGCTTGATTTTTTTTTTTTAAATCCGATTTTTATTACAGCGACTTAGGGAATCCCTTCCTGTGACAGACTTGAGCTACAGAAGATCAATGAAAATATGGGGCAAGGAGGGCCTCTTAAGAAGATTTTCCCCGCATGTACGCTAAATCAATTGATTACTTGTATGAGTTCTAAGCAATTAGATATCTCTAATCATCAAAGTGATACCTAAAAAAAAAACGAAGATAACAAATGTGGTTGGGAAATAAACGATTCATTCCTCTTCTGGCTTCTTTCCTTGACTAATATTTTTATAACATCCGGGATCATTGATCTGGCATTTCAACAATAACCTCCTCCTGTAATTATAGTATTCCTTTATTAACAAATATTATCCGGACCATCTTTTGATATTAAATAGGACAACTGATTTGTAATCAAACCTGTTTAAAGACGCTGCTGCATTGACATCCTTGGGTACCTTAAAAAACAAACCCCCTTAAACTTTTGTCTATATCGATTTGCCTGTTTGTGGAGGAAAAAATGGTCACTTGGATGAAAAACAGCCTAATGTCATTACTGCCTCCCCACTTTGGCTGCCTTATTGGGACTTCATTTAATAAACTAACTCGGTGTCTTTAGGGACAACCTAATAATCACCCACTCTGAAGTCCCAGGGACTTGCTTCAACAAGGCAGTAATTGTTTTAATGGACGGCCAGACAATGTTTCCTGGCTGCAGGAATTAACAGAAGGAAAGGAGAAAAGAGTCCAGCGCATCTCAAGCAATTAGGGGGTCACGTGCCCCTTGTTTTCCCCCCCCTCTAGCAGGAAAAAAAAAGGAAGCCGGTTTGAAATATTAAAACACGGTTTCAAGGCCTTTCTCTTCGCACAGATTTCCCAAAATCTGACTTAAAATGAAGTCAGGAGTGCGTTTTCTGCAAAGTCTAAAAAAAAAAAAGAAAAAGAAAAGAGAGAGAGAGAGGGTTTCAGAAGAAAACTCCGGAGCGAGGGAAGAGATGAAAGACTCATAAAGGAAATTTTAAGAGGTTCGGGAGCCATTAGTAGTCCATAAAGGCAAGATTTAAGATCCTAAGATTTAAAGGCAGTTTTACAGCAGTGAATGAACTTAGCGGTTGGCATATTGAACGGGTTAAGAGCTGCAATCGGGATCTACGCAGACAGGGTCAAAAAAAGCAAGATGGTTGCTGGGAGGATGCTTACAGCTTTCGTTGCAGGCTCCGTTTTGAGCCCTTCCCCCTGCAGATTGTCCTCAGCTTACGACCACAATTTCCGTTGCAAAGTGGGACATTTGTTAAGTGAATTTTGCCCCATTTTACGTCCTTTCTTGCCACCGTTGTTAAGTGACTCGCTGTGTTGTTAAGTTAGTGACACAGTTGTTAAGTGGAAGGGGATCAGTTGGCCCCCGAGACACTGCAACTGTCATAAATACAAGTCAGTTTCCAAGCGTCTGAATTTTGATCACGTGACCCTGGGGATGCTGCGACGGTCATAAGTATGAAAAACGGTCATAAGTCCCTTTTTTCAGTGCCGTTGTAACTTTGACCGGTCACTAAACAAACTGCTGTAAGTCGATCCTGCTTGCAATATATACAGGAACTTGCTTATACAATTTATATATTAAATTGATATGCTATCCATCTCACTATTGAGTGACTCTGGGTGGCTTACATCATCATAAAAAAAAGAATAAAAACATTAAAATGAACAAAAATTGGGTAAACTAGGCACCAGTACATGAGTGGGATGGAAGTGGGATTTCCTTCTTAGTCCACAATAAGCTTTACTTACAAAAAATAATAATAATTCCTAAATGCTAATTAGCTTGGCCACCTTAATGATCATTCATCAGAAGCCACCTAGATTGTTGTTTCTCAACCTTAGTGTGTGGACTTCAACTCCCAGAATTCCCCGCTCTCCTGGGAGTTGAAGTCCACACGTATTAAACTTCTCAAGGTTGAGAAACACTGACGTAGTTCATCCAAGACGTAACTGGCAGACTGGAAACCAGAGACAACCAGATTATTATCAGAAACGGATGACATCTTTTTTTTTAAATGCAAGTACTTTAAAACTCGCACACCACCTGCCGGCGCATCATTTCCCGTTATTTCATAGCTGCTCCGTGTTCTTAACTGCCCATTTTTGGGAGATTGTTCTAAAGGTCTGCAGGATGCTCCGTGCCTGGGGGCCTTCTCAAGTTTTGCTTCGAAGAGGTCTGATGCACGTGACACGGGATGCTGAGACTTTGAAGGCAAATTCGAGCTTAACTTAAGTAACTTTGTCATAAAAATGTCGCGCAGGGGAGAAGGGAAAGGGGACTGAAAGTCAGCAAAGTCTAATTTTTCTCATGCAGGTTTGTAGCTCTTCACGGTCAAATAGTTTGGGGTGAATGTATTCATTGTTCTCTATGGGCCAGGGAAATATAATTGGCTCTGGGGCAGGGTGGAGTATCCCGTTTCTCCGGAATTAGGCAGAGTCTCACTCACTAAAAGCCCCTTACTTGAACCTGGACTGAAGATCTCCAGGCGAGAAGATTTTGGAGGGACTCAGAAGCAACATTTCCACTCCGGAGCAATTTAACCTGTTTTAGCCCTCCGCTCTTCAGACGTGCTATCAACCTTCCTTGTTTTCTGCAGCCGTAACGTAATACTAACGGCTTAAATCCACTGGATGGGTCAATTATCTACGGAGATTCTCAGTCCTCCAGGTTGTAGTTATCTCAAAGGTGCTTCTCCCCCCTCCCCCAAAAGGCTACTGGGGCAAACTCATTTAACAACTGTTTCACTTAGCAACATAAATTTTGGACTCAGCTGTGATTGTAACTCGAGGACAACCTGTTTAGTCCAACTAAAGGCAAAGGCAAAATTCTCGTTCGTCTGAAGAGTGTAGACAGCAACCTAATTTCCCTTCTCTTGAACACCATCTCCCCGAAAACAAATTCTAATTGATTTTAGTCTGTCTTGTTTTCAAGCAGGCTGTGAATTCTAAGTACGCTTAAGTGTCCTCATACCATGATACAGACATTAAGGGAGGATTTATTTGGCGGGTGGATCTGTTATGTTTTATGGATGACCCAGCTAAAGCACTCTGTGCTTGTTGCTACCTAGAAACATAACTTAGAAAGTATAAAACTTTTAAGATTGGCCCTGCAAATCACAGGAATTTCGACACTACTCCCTTGCATTCCTAATGTAAACCCTCAAGGAACATATGCATAAATTATAAAGTATCTTCATGTATTCAGATTTAAAAGAATAAGTAGATTAATGAAACTGGATGCAGACCCACTTTGGAAAGCTACAACTCAATATTAAAAGGACCCGGCAATAGCAGCAAAATCACTTGACTTCTGCCCAAATTACTACAGATAGTCTTTCGACTTAGGACCACAATGGAACTGTGACGGTCATAAAACAGGTCACCCACGTAAAGCCCGACTTTGCCATCTTTTCTGCGGCAATCGTTGAGTGAATGCTGTGGACGTTAAGCAAAACAATGGTTTGCTGTAGCTCAGTTTTGCTGAAAATGCTGGTTTTCTGCAAAACTGTTGTAAAACATGGTTATGGGACTGAGTGGGGGGGATTGTGCAAATGGACATAAATGTAGGCTGCCCAACATGCGGTCATACGGCCCCTGGGGATTGCATCAGAACTTCAGAAATGGGTCCTAAATAGGTCTGTTGTAACTCTGAACTGTCACTAAGCAGCGGTCCTAAGTTGAGAAATAGATAAGAGGGATCCCTGTGTAACCAGTTGGTTGGAGATAACTGCAAATCCTGATGTCGCACAAATAGGTTATTTATTAGGGGCTTTTATGAAGAGCTTTCTAAGCAACACACAATCAAAGCATCCTCCTGCAGAGTTTCTCCTAGCTGCCTAGCTGGCTGGGGAATGCTGGGAGTTGACGTCCGTACATCTTAAGGTTGCCCAGGTTGAGAAACACTGTCCTACTGAATTTGGAATCCAAGACTCCTATCTGGGATGAAAACTACTACGGCCACAAACCCAGTTCCTCAAAGAGTAGTCTCTCTGCATATTGTCCTGATCCTAAGATCCTGTTTGTCACTTCCTTCTGCAACCTGGGGAAGTCTACGCACATCGGATTGAAATGAACAGACACTGCTTAACAAGAATACCACAGCTTTAAACACTCTCCACTAGAAGACGAAGAAGGAGGAGGAGGAGGAGGAGGAGGAGGAGGGAGGGAGGAAAGAAGAAGAAGAAGAAAAAGAAGAAGAAGAAGAAGAAGAAGAAGAAGAAGAAGAAGAAGAAGAAGAAGGAGAAGGAGAAGGAGAAGGAGAAGGAGAAGGAGAAGGAGANAAGGAGGAGAAGGAGAAGAAGAAGAAGAAGAAGAAGAGGAGGAGGAGGAGGAGGAGGAGAAGAAGAAGAAGAAGAAGAGGAGGAGGAGGAGGAGGAGGAGGAAGAGAAGGAGAAGGGAGAAGGAGAAGGAAGAAGCGAGAAAGAGAAGACATGGGACTCTTGGCCACTTACCCCGAGCCGGACGCAACTCTGTAATGTTCGCAGTAGTTTCGTCATCAGAATCGCCCCCAGCAGCCACCACTTTGTACCGGTTTCCCGTCTGTTTCTTCAACATGTGAGGCACCTGCAAAGCTGCCTCTCTCTCAGCTGCCAGGTCCAGATCCTGCTGCGCCAGATGTGCCCGCAGCTGTCTAATTTCAAACTGAAGCCAAAGAAAGAGAGAAAAATAGCAATTAGCACTAGCACTTAAGACTTATATACCGCTTTACAGCCCTCTCTAAGCGGTTTGCAGAGCCAGCGTATTGCCCCCAACAATCTTGGTCCTCATTTTACCGACCCCGGAAGGATGGAAGGCTGCGCCAACCTTGAGTCGATCAGGATCGAACTGCTGGCAGTGGGCAGAGTTAGCCTGCAATGGTGCATTCTAACCACTACGCCTCCACGGCTCTTAATGTGCAATATGCAGAGGTATATTGCGTGTAAATACGGATACCCACATAAAGAGTGATATTCTGGTGCTGCTCCTAAAGAGGCATCTCAGCACCAGAGTTTGAAGATCTCAAATCTGGGCACCATCTGTAAAAATGACCAGCTTGATCTGTTCAACCAGTTCAAGTTTTGAAAGGCTGACATAACAATGGTTCAAGGGCTGCTAAAGGCTGTCGCAGGGTGGACACACTGCATTAAGGCATGGGTGAGTTTATCCACAATTGGGGGGGGGGTTAAGTGATCCACTCACCCAAAACTCCATATGGCTTATTCTGGCCCTGCAAGCAAACTGAGATTGGGAAGAACTGGCATGGATGCACACAACATAATTTGCACCAATGTTGTGTTTGCTCCAAGCAAACTGTAATAAAGAAAGCTTTTCTCTAATAGGAAATTAAAGACATAAATGTGGCTATTATATTTGCATAAACTCTCTGTGGCCTTTAGTGTGATTCAAAAGAATCAGTCACTGCTGAAAAGAAAAGACACTATCAATTCACAACATCCATTTTAATGGTTGCTGTACAATCGACCAACTCCTGCGGCTACCTTTTGTCATGTGACGCCAGCCATTGCTAAAACTTAACAACTGCGGATTTTTCATTTATTTTGGTCTTTTACTCTTGACACAGACACGTGCTGTGTAAAAAACTCACTAATTATTTTGTATAAATCTAATGCCCTTTTACATCGGCACTCTCATTTTCTTTCAATTTATTTCTTTGAAAATAGTTTTGTATGTACATTGCAGATTTTCTGAAAATGCAGAAAGCTATCACCACCAAATTATGCACCTACATGAATTCAAAAGGGGGGGGAGAGAATCAAAGTTTATTGTTTTCATAATCGAAAACAAATGTAATTGCTAACCTTTCTTTAAAAGAAAACATTGAATTTAGAGGCACAAACACCAACGCTTCCTGAAATAAGTGTGAACTAAGCCTGATGGCATATGCCACCAAAATACAAAGTCACAACATGACGAATGTGAAACAGAGCCATCTCTAAACTCAACACAGAAATCAAATCAAGCATGGTATCTTTTTAGCACTTATCAACAATTACAGCGACAATAAAAGCTTCTTTAAAAATATGTGATATTTTTAACAAAGGAGGGTTACATATCAAACTGCTGTAAAACAAGACACACATTCTAGATATGAATACATACACAAATGCACATCTAAATTTCCTGGTATTTCTAGACTAGCAACGGCTATATGTACTTGTAATACAAAGCTGTGGTTCCCAGCTTATAGGGTTTTGCTACTGTTTTTTTTTTTACAGCCTCAAGGTCAAACATCAGAAGCCAGAGTTTGATCTTGGTTCTTTTGAGGTAGTTAAGAGTTTATTGTATAACTGTGTTTTGTGCAAATCAGGAGTGCAAATTTTGGGGGCCCCGAGGACCCGTCTGTGCTACCAAATCAGGCATTACATTGACGGACAAGAAGCAGAGCTAGACCACCCTCTAGGAAATAAGAAACTTGCTATCTGAGCTCTAAAACCAAAGCAGAGATAGTTTAACAGGTCTCAACAGCTCCCTAATTTCTCTCAGCCGAAAGTCAGCGGTGGGAGAAAGTGTGATACGTGATGCCCTGAGAGATCCATTAAGTGGCATTTTGTCTTTCCTGGGAAAACGATCCCGCAACATTTAATACGTGGATGTGTCAACATGGCCAGGAACATTAAATAAGTGAAAGCAAGCAGCGGATATGTAACAATACTGCTTTTCTAAATTCAACATTTTGGTACAATCAATTAGAAATGCAATTTTGGGAGGCATGAAAAAACAACCACCTAGAATTCGAGAGACGGCAAGCAGGAATAAAAATGCTGTATTTACACCAAAGGATGACCCTCAATTTATAATAATTTCCCCCAAAAGCAGCCAGAAAGAGCCTGGTACTACTGCCCCAGAGATAACTGAACAGAGAAGAAAAGGAGAAAAAAATTGTTCAGATGGTGGAAAAATCATTTAAATCCACCAGATAAAACACTTTCTTCCAGAAAGGCTTAATGTTCAGGCAAGTTGGGCTCTCTTAGAGGATTCAAGATGACCCCACCTCACAATTCACAAGTAATGATTTGGAGAGAAAAAGGTAAGTTAGAGTCCAGAATTGCATAAGTCATAAGAGGTCAGATTGACCTAGGAAAATGAAAGAAGTGCCTTTGCTGCCACCCTATGGCCAAAAGGCATAAGTGCAGCTTAGCAGTGGAGCATGGAGCATTGGGTAATGTGGGTCGACTGTGGGCTGTTTCTTGGCACCCAGGAGAATTTTTAAATATATATATGGAAGGAAAGAACACAGTGGGGGTTGTGAGTGGATGCAGGATCCCTATGACTGGTATCAGTGAAATGAAAGGAAAGAACACAGTGGAGGTTGTGAGTGGGTGCAGGATCCCTAGGACTGGTATCAGTGAAATGGAAGGAAAGAACACAGTGGAGGTTGTGAGTGGATGCAGGATCCCTAGGACTGGTATCAGTGAAATGAAAGGAAAGAACACAGTGGAGGTTGTGAGTGGGTGCAGGATCCCTAGGACTGGTATCAGTGAAATGGAAGGAAAGAACACAGTGGAGGTTGTGAGTGGATGCAGGATCCCTAGGACTGGACTTCACCGAAGGGAAAGTGGGGGTAGTCATGATAAACATCAAAGAGGTGGAGATGGAACGGCCCCCAAGGATTGTGAAAGGGTGAATCAGCCCAAGGATGGGAGGCATGTTCCAGCCTGGGAAAGCGGAGGACGCCCACCTGAGATACAGACACAAAAAAGGAGGGAGGAGGGCGGCAACACACATGTAGGTAAAGGAGGTAAGGAAGAATTAACTCGGTTTGCAGATGAGGCCAGGATTGGCCGGCCGGGACCTGTCACAAGATCTAGGAGCCGTGCGCAGACATGACTGTATTTATAAACAAGCTCTCCCAGCATCCTGATTATACCCTGATGATGATGGCAGTTTTAGGCCATCGAAAGCTTGGTTTTATTTATTAAAACTGTATTGTTTTATACTTCCTGGTGATCACTTTGTTGTCTTTTAAAATATATATATATATTTCTTTTTAAAAAAAGCTTGTTCCTTTTAAGTTAAAGGCATAAATATTACAATGCTATTACTGCAGTCTGCATGCGGATTTTTGAAGATTCAGCCCAAGAGGTTTTCTGCTTTCTAATTTTTCCCTAGCATCAGAGGAAAACTAATGGACGAAAACTTTTGACATTGGCATGGAGATATAATTGTGCCCTCTTACCCCCTGTTCTTGGCAGATGTGGGTCAGTCTTTCCAGCTGCTCGTCCTGAATAACCTTTGCTTTTTCGTACTGTTGGATCACCATCTCCATTTCCACTTTAACGGGCAGGACGTAGGCTACAAATCAGAACCATACAAATAGGGTCTTTCATAGCAGATAAGAAGGCAGTTCTCTACTACTAATCAGAAATGCAGACTTTCTGCGGCTACTGAAAGCAGAATGGGTCACGATGCATCCCTCGACAAATGCTAAGTGAGACTCTTAAAAGAACCGACGTGCAATTGAGAGAGAGGATAATTCTGAACAACCATCTTTAAGATAAGATTCTCTCGGCTTGTCAAAAATCATCTATTGCCTCCAAGTCTTCCTTTTAAAAAGAAGACACGTGTGTGTGTGTGTGTGTGTGTGTGTGTGTGTGTGTGTGTGTGTGTGTTTACTTAGGAAAATGGAAGCAAGTTTTGCTCATTCAAGATCACCTATTCTACTCTAATTGTCTAAAGCAGGGGTCTTCAAACTTGGCCCTTTTGATTTGTGGACTTCAACTCCCAGAATTCCTCAGCTAGCATGCCTGGCTAAGGAATTCTGGGAGTTGAAGTCCACAAGTTTTAAAGTAGCCAAGGTGAGGACCCCTGATTTAGAGTCTTCTTGGATGCCTTAACACAGGGGTCTTCAAACTTGGCCCTTTTATGACTTAGCATGCCTGGCTAAGGAATTCTGGGAGTTGAAGTCCACAAGTCATAAAAGGACCAAGTTTGAAGACCCCTGGTCTAATGAAGTGTTTCTCAAGCTTGGCAATTTTAAGAGGTGGTGGACTTCAACTCCATGCTGGCTGGGGAATCCTGTGAGTTGAAGTCCACATATCTTAAAATTGCCAAGCTTGAGAAATATTGGTCTAATGGATCACAGGTGGATTTTCACATGCAGTTTCTTTAAAAGAAGTTGCTAAGAACTTGAACTGCTCAGCCCCCGAGTTGGTGCTTCTTTCTTTCTCTAAACCTCCACATCCTGCTGCAGATTATTTTTTTTCGCAAAATTCTAATTACCCACACAAGCACATTATTGCATCTGTTATGACACTGGGACAAAACATGTGACTTAAGTACATTGGGAATTTGTTTATCTTCTCAGCAAGGGTCAACTGGTTAAATCTGTGTTTTCTGCTTGAAATTAGCCTAAAATAGATGTTATCCATTTAACAAAGGAATGGCTTGTTTTTTTTTGTTAATTTTTCAAATTTATACAGCCACTCCTCTCACCAAACAAGTGACTCTGGGCAGCGCACAACCAAGTTAAAAAAAAAAAATCACTGTTGACTTACCATCGATAATTCGTTTGACTCTCCAAATTCTCAGGGTAATAATGAGACTTATAGCATCCCATGGACTGCTTGGTCCATTAGCCACTGTAGATGCCACCATGGGAGCCAAAGATAAGATGATTACAGCACCATCAAATACCTAATATGAAAAGAATTTCACAGGAATCACATATACATTATTTTTGAACGTATGCATCTGTGGGAAATGGCCAGGTTGAGTCCGAGGATAGGGTAGGGTCAAATGCATCATCAGTTTGGAATCCTTATGCATCCACAAGAGATCTACGCCCATGGATACAGCTGACTCTTATCTAGTGTCAATTTGCCTTGACTGCTAGTAGATCAGATTCTTGTGTATGCCTTGACTGTTAGTAGATCAGATTCTTGTGTATAAAATAAACTTTTGTATGAAATAAACTTGTAGTACTTTTGAACTTTATCCTGGATCCTGGTTTCTTGCGCCTTACGTTATCAAGTGACAATCCAACCCTTTCTCTTCTTTGGATCCATACTGGTTATTTTACCCACGTTGCCCATACTGCATTTGTCGTATTTACATAATCACATTTCCAATGGATTGTCCTATACAGGTAGTCCTTGACTTATAACAGTTCACTTAGTCATCATTCCAAGTTACAATGGCGCTGGAAAAAATGTCTTATGATGGTTTTTCACACGACCGTTGCAGCATCCCCCTGGTCATGTGATCAAAATTTAGACGCTTGGCAACTGGCTAGTATTTATGACGGTTGCAGTGTCCTGTGATCCCCTTTTGTGACCTTCTGACAAAGAGTCAATGGGGAAGGCAGATTCACTTAACAACTGTGTTACTAACTTAACCACTGCAGTGATTCACTTCACAAGAATTGCAAGAAAGGTTGTAAAATGGGGCAAAACTTACTTAACAAATGTCTCACTTAACAACAGAAAGGTTGGGCTCAATTGGGGTCGGAAGTTGAAGACTACCTGTAGTTTAGCAGATTCCATGCAAAGGAGCTACAGTTTGGGCAGAATATACCACCTTGCCTTTTGACTTTAACCTGGTTGCTACAACGAGTAGCAGAAACCTGAGCAATGCACACCAAGGTTTGGGCAAGAGGGACATGTCATGAAAGATTTCGCTACTTTGGACTTACCTCTATTTTGTTTTCAATATAGTCCCATATACCGAGTACGACTATTCTCAAAATAGTCTAAGGAAAGTCCATGTTGGGAAACAAAAAGGGGAGGGGGGAAGGAGGGGGAAGAGAGGAAATTAGCATTTGTCTTTTACACATTCATTTAAAACATGCTGACATCAATTATATTTAAAGCTTATTCCCTTCTTAAAAAGATGCCCTGCTTCTACCTCTTCCAAGTTCTGGGAATAATGGAAAAGATAAGCAAAATTCCAGACTAATAGGGACGATCTTTTCAAGTTTAATAGTAACCATTCTCCAACTCAGAAATGAGTAGTATTGCTTAAAGTCTCCATGGACCCTACTTTCAAGTTATAACAACAATAACAGTAACAGTAACAATAACAATAATAGTAATAATGAATGTCCCTTTCATAGATTTTAGTGGACAAGAGCTGCCAAACATTTTAGACCATTTGCAAATGCAAATGTTTTTTCTCAGGGTGGAAAAGTGGTGACCCGCTTAATCACTGCAATGACTTATGACTCAACTGCAGTCATAAATTGAGGACTACTTGTAAAACAAGCAGCCAGAGGGGAATTCATGAACTGGCCCTAATTTTGTGGGGGCTGCTCCAAAGATTTCATCCTTGGGCTCTTCAGCTGGGAAGGAAGATTAATGCTCTCATCCCCACTCGTGTGATATGGTTAATTAGAGATGAGCCTAAAACAATCCCAGGGATAAAACAATCTGTTTCTAACCCAACTGCTGATTGAGTGGGGTGTCAGGAGGATGCTCTGAGCCTGCCCACAGTTTAAGTGAACACAGCTGCTAAGCCAATTTCATGCCTTATTTGAAGTTTGGCAAGAAAATATGCTCCTAATGAAGTATGAATTTGGCCATTTACAAGCAGGCAATGAGAAATTAAATCTCTTTTAAGAAATTAAGTCTCTTTATTCAAGCTTGCAAATAAGAGTTTAACAGACCTTGGACAGTTTAAACCACGGGTGTCCAATCTCGGCAATTTTAAGACCTGTGGACTTCAACCCCCAGAAGTTGAAGTCCACAGGTCTTAAAAGTTGCCCAGGTTGGATACCCCTGATATAAAAAATTTGGTATACATTGCTTGCAGACATTTCATTATCTAATTAGGAACGTCATCAGTGTTGGAAGGGAGTGGGGTTTGCAGTGTGGAGGTGAAGGAGGGGGGGAGGAGGAGGAGGAGGAGGAGGAGGAGGAGGAGGAGGACGACGACGACGACTGTGGGGTCCTTGGTGCTCACTGACCTTGGTTGTTTTCTTGCAGACATTTCTATTACCCAAACTAGGTAACCATCATCATTCTAGCCTTTAATTGAGATGTTTTAAATTGTAAACAATGCCACAATTAAGTCCTCTGGGACTCTTGTCAGAGTCCAATTGTCCTCATTTCTATTGATCTGGCTACTCATTTCAACACTTCAAGTGACAATGGAAGAAGCATCTGTCAATAAAAGTAGCTATTTATGGCTCTCTCTTTCTCTCTGGTCTCAAGAGACTTACTGGGACATTCTGTGTCATCTGTACACTGGTCTTCCCCCTATGATTAGCACATGAAAATTAGCTGGGGAAAGCCTGTTCTGAAAACCGAAAGTCTGTCAAGTTCTAATTAAAAATACGTTTACTGAAGGATAGAAAAAAAACCCCAGCCATATTCCTTTTCCCTACAGTTACAATTCCCATTTCCTTTACCTCTGAAAAGAAGATAGATAGGATAACCAGACTGATCCAGTGAATGACGCCAGCAAATTGCGATGCGCTTGAAACTACAAGGAAGAACAAAAAAGCAAGTGAGACGTGATGTGTGTCATGCATAGGCCAAAGCAGGATGGTCAGTCTTAAAGCGTATTTTAAAAGGAAATGCAGATATCTATTTTCCTTCTTATTCTTAAATTAATATCACAATTTTGTTAAAGCGGGCTCAAAACCAGGAAGTCGCAGAAACCTTAAGATCTGTAAAGAGAAGGCATCAATAAAGACAAAATCCTCCTGGCAGGAGGGCATAGGACTCAGGAGTAGTGTCAGAATCCAATTATATTTCATTTCTAGCTACCTACTCTGAAAAAAGACCCATTTCTTACTCTTTGTGGATTCTGTCATACTACGAAAGGGGAGGAGGGAGCAAGGGGGTTTATGACTCTCACTTCCTTCATTTAAACTACAAAGGACTGGATGTGATTCTTATCAAGAGGATTGACCATAACAATATGGCCATAGCCTTTCATCTACTCTCTCTCTCTGAAGTCTCCCTTCTGCCGGCAGTGAGGAAAAAGGGGTGGAAATGTAACACCTGGGATTGTGGGGTGGGGGCTGCTTGGGAACACTTAAAACATTGAATGGTAGGGGTTGGCCCCTCAGATCCTGTCTAGAACGCCTGCAACCATTTTCTCTTAATAAAGATGCCTGTTGGAAGAGATATTTACATCTTAAGAAGAAGATGTCTTCTTAAGATGTAAAGTGGGGTGGGTCCTTACAGGTAGGCAACCTTGGCTCTTTTATGATTCATGGACTTCAACTCCCAGAATTCCTGAGCCAGCTATGCTGGCTCAGGAATTCTGGGAGTTGAAGTCCATGAGTCATAAAAGAGCCAAGGTTGCCTACCCCTGGCATAGGTGGATATTCTGATGAAAGTTGTTCAGGAACTCCTCAGAAAGTGGAATGGGACAATTCAGTGTGGGCCAGTCGCTGTGGCCAACTCGTCGTGGCCAACTCGCCAAGGGACAATTTAAGAATTCAATTTAATTATTTAAAATCAATAAAAAAAAATTTCGATTTTTGTCATTCGCTTTTCATTCTATCCTTCCTTTGGCATCCTTTCTTGAATGATTCTAGTCCACCCTTTCTTTGATATTAGTGTAACCCTTGTCCCGCAGAGAGTTCTCCCAGGGCCAGTTGTCCCATGGCGAGCTGGCGAATGATCAGAGAGCGCTGTCGGTTCAAAGACGATATTATGGGCAATAAAGTTTACCGAGGATTTAGGAGAATTTTCAGAACATCGGGTTATGGGTCAAAACAAACATGAAGGCAAATATACGTGTCTCAGGATAATGTTAAAAGATCCAATCTGGGTCGTTTATTGCAGGGGTCCCCAACCCCCGGTCCGTGGTCCAGTACCGGGTCACAGCATGCCAGCAACTGGTCCGCACAAACAAGCAAAGCCCCATCCGTGGGATGCAGGCAGCACACAAAACCACGCACCCTCCGGTCTGCAGAAAAACCTCTCTCCGCGTAACCGGTCCCTAACGCCCAAAAGGTTGGGGACCTCTGATTTATTGGGAGTACAGGTTTTGTTTTCCGAGCTTTCGGACTTGTTCTGGAGCCCATCTTCAGGGAACTTCAAACTTCAAAGCTCAGAAGATGAAACCTCCGGTCCCGGTAAACGACCCAGATTAGATCCTGCAAAACCAACATGTGTGAAGGAGACAATATTTGCTCCACACTGGAACCTTCAACATAAGGATGTCCATCTTTTTGTAGAAACATTCCCCGAATCTTGTTTACCACACACCTATTACCATAACGTGAGAATAGGACAGTGACTGTTATCGCGCAAACAAAATGCATAGAAACCATCCTGGCCAAATCAATATGGCAGTAAGCGGACACAAAGAGGGACCACAAAGATGCTATCAGTGCCACTGTAACTTCAAACGGTCACTAAATGGACGGTTTGTAAACCGAGAACTATCTGTATCCTGTGGTTTGCTCAAACATTTCAGGAAGAAAAACAGAAACAAGGGTAAAAGCCTGCTACTCACACTGGAGAAGCTTTATATCTATTAGGAGCTCCAGAGTCAGAAGAATCACCACCAATACTACACAGGCTAGCAGGAAACTGTTGAGACTCGCACTGAGTAAAAATACCTGCCAGACGGCCGCTCGCCTCCCGCAGCAGGGCTTAAGCCAGTTAGATCTGAAGGAAGAAAAAGAGAGGGAAGGAGGAAGAAGAGGAAGACAGACGAGAAAAAGGCAGACAGGTAAAAGAAGAGCAAGACAGAAGCAGCCAGGTTTTGTTTGAGCAGAGAGCGGATCCACGGTTGAATTTAGTGGTTGAATTTATACCCTGCAAATGTATAGGATGCAAATGTAATCTGGGGTTCTTCATTTCACCCCCGTAGTAGCGATCGTAGATAGTTGGGCTGAAAGGATGTGATCCCCTGAGCTTCCATACTTTGTCCTGATCCGGCCCCTAAATCACTACACCGCCATATTATTAATGAAACGTATCTGTCCATGCTGCTAACATCGGACGTTCTTGCTTGACAGTATATAAAGATGCAGACATTTCCTATTTAACCTGTGTACTACTTTTAGAGTTAAAATTAGATGGTGCTGGAGGGGAGGGGGAAGAATGTGCTTGGGGACTTGTTAGCCATAACAATATCTCAGTAGAGCAGGGGTAGTCAACCTTGGCTCTTTTATGACTCGTGGACTTCAACTCCCAGAATTCCTGAGCCAGCTGTGCTGGCTCAGGAATTCTGGGAGTTGAAGTCCACGAGTCATAAAAGAGCCAAGGTTGACTACCCCTGCAGTAGAGTATTCTTCAAGGTTAGTTGTAATAAGAGGAGATAACGGGAGGGAAAGTTCACACTTCAAACTAATTGGAGAATGTGATTAATGACTGTTAAATGAAGGAGTGAGTTGTGCTTTGATACTGTGTGTTTGGGGGAGGAGAATTCAGATTTTGGCTTCTCTATGTACCTGCCGAAGCTATGTTGCAAATTAAAGATTCTTTAAGGTAAACAATGCCTCAAAGTTCTTTGAAGAGCTTCTTCTTTCGGAGCCATGACAGTATCTTTATGGTACAATATATACTCAACCCATCTGTTTAGTGAAAGTACCATGCTCACTGCACGCCTGGTGTGGTAAGTCCAGTTTGCAAAGTTCTCAGTCCAATAAGCAGGCACAGAGGGAATCCAGATTCAACCCCAATTGTTCCTTTTGTACAAAATGTGCAAACAGCAAAGAGGAGCAATGCAGGATTAGTCCAAAGGCTCAGCCAGTCTTCTATTCAGGCCATGCATTTGCCAGTTAGAGGGTCAAAAGCATGATACCAGCTCAAGAACCCACACCTATTGACCGTCACCATCGGTGGGTTCTTATTTATTATTTATTAAATTTATATGCCGTCCATCTCACCAAGAGGTGACTCCTAGGTGGCTTAAAGATGTATGGTTTCCAAAGTTGGAATGACTAAATAATAACGATCCCAACTGGAATCTCTTAACAGGTTTATCTTCCTGCATGACCTTATCGAATTGTCCATTAAAGTTGGTGGCCATCAGAATCATAATCTAGGACTCTTTTAGATATGTTCAAAAAAAACCACATTTCTACATCTAGATTAAGCAACCTTCTTTGATGATTTGCCATAGGATTGTTTTATTCCATGCGGTGTGTGCGTGTCCTGCAGAACCGGAATTTCCCATTTTAATTTTCCAGAGGATCAAGGACTGCCCGGGTACGAAGCCTACCGAATTCTTCATACAACTTCAACTTCGAAACGAACGAGGAATGAAAATAAATGTTATTGCTTCTTGTAGTTCCCTGTTTTGGCTGTTGCCACTATTCCTACATTTTGACATTTTGTATTAGCAAAGCAAGTTAGGACCACACGTGCTGCCTTACACCCAATCAAAGCACTACATTATTTTATCCAGCAGTGAAGATCAGCTTACTGCAACACCGGCTGAGAATTTTAATTTCAGACGCCAAGGACTGATTGAACAGGAATCGTTCTGGTATGCAAAGCGTTTACTCTTCTTTGAAACTTCTGCCAATGCAAACAGAATGTGTGCTTTCACTATAGGACTTAAAGTTCTAGAGCAGGGGTCTTCAAACTTGGCCCTTTTATGACTTGTGGACTTCAACTCCCAGAATTCCTCAGCCAGGCACGCTGGCTGAGGAATTCTGGGAGTTGAAGTCCACAAGTCATAAAAGGGCCAAGTGTGAAGACCCCTGTTCTAGAGCAAATATTATTAAGTCTTTACATAATGCAACAGAACGGAGCG